ATCCCTGTTTTCTATTGTAAATGCTGCTGAAATGTACAATGTGTTTGCTATTATAAATTATGTGAAGCTTGCATAGTTAAACTGATAGCCATGTGGTTTCGTCTTTCAGCCCAAAGACATAGCCCACATATGGGAGCTGGGAGGAGGGACGTCTTTGTCAGACCTGGTCCAGATCCCCATCACTCCTGTCAGCATCAGGTACCTCACTCACATTCATCTCTGAGGACTTGTAGTCTCATTCACAGTTGTGTTGTTCGGATAATAGGCAATATTTGACATCTTTACAGTGTGAATAATTGTTTTTGTTCAGACTATCACATGCATTTTTAAAATCAGTATGGCTTTAATGGCAGTGTCATACCAGTAAAGGAAGGGTGTTTTATTTTTATTGCTTCAGTGTCACACCTTCAGTTAAATATCCTGCTACAGCATCCTTCTTGTTTCCCAGGTCTCTCTCTGTCATCCTCATTCTGGACCTGTCTAAACCCAATGTTCTGTGGGGAACCATGGAGAAGCTGCTGCAGGCAGCACAAGGTCAGCTGGAAAAAGTGTTTTCTCAGTCACAGCAAGCAGAGAAGTCCAAACCTGGAGCCAAACACCAGACGCCTGCCCACTCAGCAGCTCGTGTCTTACCTAAAGACTATCCTGTAAGACCTCAGCTTGTTACAGTTGCCGTTTCATGTGTGAACTTTATATCGGACCGTTATGTGAAATGATTTTTAGTTGTGTGAACTACTTACACCTCAGGGTCCTACAAAGTCTTACATGTCCCAAATTCAAATAAAAATACTACCAACACTAAACCAACATGATGAACACAAGCTTATTAATAGAAGGAAACAACAAATCTCACCTCAAAGTGTAAACAAAGTCAAAAGAAGAGATGAGAACAAGATTTTTGTCGATAAAGAGCTGTTCCTTTTTCATCAATGTAAGCTATTGCATATATCCTGAGTTAACTGTGAGTCTGTGTTCAGGACAGAGAGCTGATCAGCCCCTTCCCTGTTCCTCTGCTCATCATTGGCAGCAAGTATGACATGTTTCAGGTAAAACACATGCTTCAGTGCTACATTGTCGTTGGTCTCTTAATTGACATATTTCAACTTCTTATTTGCGCACTTTAAAAGTTTTTATTTTTTGAAGACAAAGAAGTTGTTTTAAAGCTTTGTGCGTATACAATTATTAATTTTCTTGTTAATTCCTGCTGTAATTTGTGCAACACATTCAGAGTTTTTCCATCTGTGTTGCAGGAATTTGACTCTGACAAGAAGAAAGTGGTCAGCAAAACACTGCGCTTTGTTGCCCACTACTACGCTGCCTCTCTTATTGTGAGTATGCTTTTACTTTACAGGTGGCATGTTTACATCTATCACAGGTTTTGATTTAAACATACTGCAGTGTGCACTTTTTAATGTTCTCTGTTGCATTTGCTCACTGAATTCAGTCAGACAGTTACGTTTTCTGTTTTTGTGTCTGATCTCTTCAATAGTTCACCAGCATCAAATCAGAGAGTCTTGTGTCAAAAACCAAGAGCTTCTTCTCACACCTGGCTTTCGGTTTGGACAGAGGGTAAGGAGGATAACACAACACTGTGCCCTAAGTAGTAGTGAATGAGGTCTGGGACTGGCATTTTAGTTATTTTTAGAACACAGTTATTCCAATACTAGCACTAATACTTGGTAGATTTCCTAGTTTCATTTCAGATTAGGACTCTGGACTCTATTTTACAGGATCTTGAGACATTGTGGGATTAACATATGCACTGTATTTACAAGAGCTTTTCAAGAGACACCTCCAAATGAATATATAGTGGTAAATACTCTGAGTAGTCTATTTATTGGGATCGCCTGGCTGAAAGTAGTGCAGTCTAATACAGCAGTCTTGCAATTATGAATGTCATAATGTTCAATTTTTGTTGAAGCAGTTTTAGAGAGGTGTTGATTCAACTGCAGAATCATGCTGAATGCTGTAGTCTGCTGTTAATCGCTGTTAGGTTTTACTGCTGTATACAGAGGGGTTGCATATTTAGCCTACCCGAATGGATAGAAATGGATAAAGAGCATAAAATATGGCAACAAACTACGTTTTGTAAATGTTACTCTGCTGTTGGTTTAGTGATGTAGTTTTTTGTGTGTTTTTCTTCTTATTCTAACATTGTAATCAGGAAAACTGTGTCGTGTGAGTCCAACAAGCCTCTCATCATTCCAGCCGGCTCTGACACCTTCAGCCAAATAGGTGAGAACGGCGCCACACAGTGATCAAAGGCAGTAACGCATTTAAACACGTGCTGTGTTATAAGACATACACCAGATTTGGAGCTACTTTTTGTTTTGACATTTGCTGACATGAAAAAGATCTGAGTGATATTGGTTTTAAGATAATTCTCCTACTAACTTAGGCTCCCCTCCCTCTGCTGATGTGGACATAACTTCTCTGCATGCAAAGAACCCAAAGGACCTCTGGAAGAAGGTGTATGAGCGTGTCTTCCCTCAGGAGGTAGTTCAGTCTCTGGAGACACTTTCATCTCCATCAGTTCTGCAAAATAACACTGATGTTTTGGATAGAATGCTTTATTTCTTTTTATTATCCACGTTGACATGAATATGGACAGTTTTTCTGTTTTCTTCGTTTCTGATTGTCTGACTGACTTTGTCGTTGCAGAGTACCAGTGAACAGAAGGAGCTAAAGGATCCAGGCAAAGACCCACAGTACAGTGAGCCTCAGATTGATGCCATGAGAGCCCAGAAAGACCAGGTAACACATCCTCACAGGTTACATTCTGGTAATATGCTGACAAAGCTCATGATTCACCTAAGATTTTTGACAGACTACATTAGTGCAACCAGTGTCATGACCTATAGGTATTGCTTTTCTAAATTTCTGTTCTCTTGTCTGTGTTTAGTGACTCTATGGTTTGTCCTTAAGGGAAAGCGTAGCAAGTATTTATGAAGATAATATAGACTGAGACTGACTTTGTCAATCCCAGAGGGAAAGTCAGTTGCTACAGCAGCAATATTCAACAAAGGGGTAAACAAAGCAAAAAGACAACACAGAATATAGGGTAGGGTATAAAATGAAGGTAAAATAAAACAAGATAAAAATATAGAAAATATAATATAGAAAAAGTCAACAAATTTACAAGAATATATGAGAGAGATACAGAAATGTGCAAATGATGTTGTGTTTAAATTAAAGCATTAAAAAGTCTTATTGCTGTCGGGAGGAATGACCTCCTGTAACCTTCCTTGGAGCAGCAGGGTTGTATATCAATATATCTATGATATTGAGATAGTCTTTCTCGTTGATAAAGAAGTTAGCTTTAATGACAGCCCAACTTTTCATCATTGCTTGTATAATGTGGCTTTTGTTTTGTCACTGCTGCTTTGTCTTAAGACATCCTGACGCGACAGGCCACGAACTATATGCTCCAGAGTGCCAAAGTTTTATTTATTTTTTGACGTTTTTCTGCCTTTATCTTATTGGGTATGGAGAAGGAGACAGAATGTAGGGAAAGAGAATAGAGGAATGACATGCAGGGAATGATCCAGCCAACCAGGAGTCAAACCAGGGACTACCTGCTCAGGACATTTGCATCCATGTGGTATGGACCTAAACAGGCCGCCTAAGAGTTTAATAATGATTTAATTTCTTTTGAGAGAAGTTTATATACAATACAAGCACTCTACTTTTGGTTTAGTGAATCACATTAAAACAATAAAGTGGACACAGTGTGCATGTTAAGTCCTTGTGGGGTACAGGTGCATTCCAAATCACACACTTTTATTTTTTCTTCAAGCACATACTGCAGCTGCCCTCACAAAGTATGTACTCTTTCATGCAGTATGCATCCAACTTGATCATGCTACTTTGTCGTCATTATGTGTCTTAAGCTTTGATTGTCTGCAGAGCGAAATAAGCTGCCTGTACGGCCTCATTGGCTCAAGCTTCTTTATAATTATGCAGACAACGCAACTTATATAACATAACTGCACAGAGGATTGTGGGTCAGAATGTCCAGAAAAGCATGTTAGCTTGCACACACTGAAAAATCCAGCCGTTGTAGTGTGACATCCAGGTGTACTAAATCTTTTTCTGGCATGCTATATAGTATGGTAGTATTAATGTTGGAAGGCTCCCAATGTCCACACACTCACATTTTTAAGCGCTCAAATACTTATTGCAACATTTAAACTGTGAAGTCTTCATCAGGCCACTCTGAAATATGCAATCTAATACAACTCCTCTGCTACGATTTCTACTTTTTTGAAGCTTCTACATTTTCACTTTTGGTTGATGTTGTCAAAAAGGTAATCATTCTTATTCTGTAACAATAGTTTTCTTTAACAGTTTTCTTACTAGGGGATCACATGATGAGGTGCAAAATCTTTAGTTTTTCTTTTTACACACAAATGAACAATAAAGAGAAACACGCAGAATACGCATTTGGAGAAACCACTCCGTCTTATTTCTAGGTGTTGGCACCAGGGGGAGACATATACAGTGAGGAAGTTTCTCACTCCCTCTTACATATGTTTGTACAGATGTTTGCCTGATGAAGAGACCTTGAAGATTTAAATGTCATAATAACTATTTGGAACCTGACAAATGTCAGTGTTCAGACATCCTGTCTTTTGTCATGTGAAGAACATAAATGGATGCTGTTCTATTGGCCAAACTAAGTTGAATTAAATATAACTTGCACTTGTTGAAGAACCAGTGCTCCTTCTTAAACAGCCTTTGTGAGCTCAGTGCTTCTGTCCCTGAGACAACCATACGGTTTTGTTAGTTGACACATTACACTCCCCGTTTTTCCACACATGCACCCACTTACACTGTGGAACCTAGAGACTACACATGCCATTCTTAATTTAAATCCCATTATGTTATTCAAATAAGTAATTCTTTGATTTTCTTGGTTGTGTGCATCTTCCTTATTTGTCACAGACGTCAACTGTCGTGTGCACTCTGCTCCACACTTGTGTTAAACCAGGTTAATGTTCCAGAGTAACCCTTTGTCCTTCAGTGGCCCGTGTGAAGTCATGTTTCAGTCATGATCTCCTTAACAAGCGGTAATATTTCTCGAGGCCATAAACTCAGAGATTAGTGGTCTTCAGGTCAGTCTGTCCTTCTGCCACTCTGGCACTTGAACTGCAGTAACCTGTTGGTCACACGCACAAATCACACACCGTTATCTGTGACTGATGCTTGTGAACTGGCTCTGCCATTGGACGGTACATAACGTGATACAGCCTGAGCAACCAATTAGAAGAACAGGTTAAAGGTTTATCCAACCTGAGGCAGACATACATTCATGTCAGGGCCGACTGTAAACTGATAACCATGCTAAATATTCTTCTAATCCACCTGTTTGTGTACCCTTGGACTTTCATTTATTATTGCATTTGTGTCACACAACTAAGTATCTGTTTTCCCAGAGGTTAAATTATGGAAAAATCTTGTCATTTTACAAAATAGGCTGGTGTTTTGACGGCCTTTCTAGGATCTGGGTTAAAGATTTCAATTAAAAAAACATTTTTCAGTTGCTTCCACATAAAACGTAGAAGCTCGAGGTGACATATCTCCTTATTATAGAGGCACAATCTGAGACCGGTTGACCCTGTGAGTTCTGTGTCAGAAAGCTTTGCAGAGAGTAAGTAAGAAAAGTCTAAATGCATCATATTATACATCGTTTTAAATTAGTGTTCAGTGTTTGGAGTCTCTGCAGTGTTCATCTAAGTGCATGACACGTCGTCAGTGTTATAAATGTGACGTTATCTGTGCCCTGTGTCTGCATTTGTTTCTGCGGAGGATAAAAAAAACCTTCATGTTGAGCTTGCGTACATTTCTGCCCTGTGGAGTGTGATTTGGTAATTATGTTCCTTATTCCCTGTCATTCTGATTTCTCTGTTTTTTAGGAGCTGGAACAGTATAAGAGGAACGCAGCAAAGTCATGGAAGGGACTGGAGCTGGAGACATGAGACATCAACTTTATTAAACACAAACAACATATCATAATGTACATACAGTATCACATTTGTATTATTTATGTACTACTACATTATATTGCTTTTGTGTTATTGCTTTTGTGTTATACATGTATACATCCAACTTTGTAATTAATGCAACTTTTAGTTAACAGAAAGACACTGTTTCTTTTATATCAATAATACAACATGTTGTAGAAAAATAAAGGAGTTTACAACTATTACAACAGACATCTTTTTAAAGTAGCGACACTTTATAGTTAGTAAGTGAACAAAAAAGTGACGCAGCCAATACACAAGCAGCATTTATAGTAGTTTAAGCTCAATGCTACATGCAGTTTACAGTATGTGTAGCTGCTGGGAAGTCTTAAAAACAATTAAGTTTTCTTTGAAAAGGCAATAAAATATGCAAAGCTGCAGCAGACTTAAATGTAGAATGTGAGAATTAGCGTGTTTCAAACAGGGAGCCATGTGAGAGGTTTGTAATAATGGAGGGATTTCATACATTGTTCATTATTTAAAAAAAAAAATAATAACAAAAAAAAAAATTAAAAAAGCTCATGTTCTTACATTTTGAGTTTGAATGAACTTTTTTTCGGTAAAAAGAACGGAGACGCCCTGAAGAATAATGAAAACACAAGCTGTTTAAAAAGCGAAGAAATATTTCCGGTATAGCTTTTGACCACCAGCGGCAGCACTAAGTCCCAGCAGCGCGCTAACTGGAAGCGAAGAAGACGTCCGGCGCCATCTTCGAAAATTTCGGATTTTATTCCTGATTTTGTTTAATCTGGTTTTGGATGTTTTCCTCTATTTAGGTGACTAAAATGACTATTCACCAAATAGTGAGTTTGTATTTTCTATTTCCTTCCTTCTGTAAATGCGTGAACAATTAAAGTTCACAAATTACCAACATTTATTAGTCATGCTAAG